TCAGAAATGGTGACTCCTCTCCACACAAGAAAGCTCACACAAGACCAAGGTATTTTGTGAAGAAAACAAGAGCAAAGGTGCTCACTTTGGCTCACCAAGTGGAGAAGAAGGGTGGCAAGGGTGGCTGGAGGTGTTTTAGAAAAATAGAGGCACGTAGGGTGGCAAATCAGACCTACGATCATGTGCCTCTTAAGTATATATAGTCATTTAAGAATAAAACACACAGTATTAGCGCTAAATGCTACGCTTAGCATTTTAATCCCAAACTTAGGATTCAGAACCTACTCAATTTTACAAGATTTATCATATTTTTATTTTATTTTTCGCAACACCTTTCCGGTACACTCTTTTCCATAGCCAGTATCAGTTCTGGCACCAGTTCTCATTATTTTAACTTGAAACTTGAAATCACAGTCCTACATATTATTCTAGGAATATTAATGCGCTTATAATAATTTTCTGGGATACTTTATCGGCACGCATTTATACCGACTAGCAGAATCGGTATCTGTACTTTTCGTTAGAAAAGCGGCTTCCAACATTATTACTCACTTACTACAATCATTAAAGCCTCATAATAATTATTAGGGTCAATTATGGAATTATTTCTTAATTTCACATAATTAATTAATTAACTTCCTTAATTAACGGTGCGGGTTCTTACACATGACAATGTCAACCTTGGAAGCAGAATTTATTGCTTTAGATAAAGCCGGTGAAGAAGCCGAATGACTTCGTAATTTTATTGAGGATGTTCCTAATTGGCCAAAATCGGTACCAGCCGTATGCATACACTGTGATAGCCAAGCCGCTATCGGAAAGGCCAAGAACGTCATGTGTAACGTTAAGTCTAGACATATACGTCATAGACATGATACTGTAAGACAACTACTCTCGAATGGAATCACTACAATTGACTATGTGAAGTCTAAAGAGAACATAGCGAATCCGTTAACCACAGGGATTCCTAGAGAATTGGTTGAGAATTTGTCGAAAGGAATGGGTTAAGGCCTATCAATTGTTGATCATTGCGGTAACTCTACCTTGATGAGTGGAGATCCCACGAACTAGATTCAAAGAGACAACTAAGTGATGATTGACTGTTAAAACACTACGGAGTTTCTATAACTCATACTCATTCCTATGACAAGACAGTATATTTATGAGGGTAAGCATTTAGGCTTTTAATGATTCTTTAATCTGATATGTTCAGATGATGTATTTTGAGTGACATCACAAGCAATCACCTATGTGAGTGTGAAGAGAGGGCCACTTCTATGAGAATTTATAAAGGCCGATTCTCTAGAACACTCGCAGAACCAGACAGGTGTGCCAAGGCCAAAATGGGCACAACAATGAGGACCAACAATGCTAGAGAAGCAATTGTGTGACTTATATTGTCTAGGTATACACTAAAGGTCGACGGTTCAAGTCGCCCAGACCACCGATTGACTGAGTATATCCGATAAGTTTCACTAGGGAAGGTTCAAAGGAAACTCTACCTATCTCGATGCAATTGTTTCTCGTTTAGGAAATTACACTTAGCATTTATATTCTTATGCATTTTAGTCACGATGAATTGACTTTTTATCTATGTGGGGGATTGTTGGAATTTTTATAGACATCCTATGGGTTATGAATAAGAAGTGGGTTAAGGAAGAAAAGAAAAGAGGGAAGTTGAAGGGGTGTGTGGATTTTAAGAAGTCCCACATTGGACAACTAGTAAGAGGTGAGAGAATTTATAAGCTCCCACCTCATACTCCTAAATTTCCCCTTGGGGAACTACACTTTTGTGGAGGGAAGAGGAGCTAGGTGGCATTTGGTCCACCACACACATGTGCGCGCGCGCCACCGTCGCTGTCGGATCGGTTCGGTTCGTACGTGTGTGTGAAATAAAAGTAATTTTTATTAAATTATTTTATTAATTTTTTGTCCAAAATACCTCTGTCCTTATTCGTTACTTCCCTTCAGATTCTTCAACCCAAACGTTTCTTTTCGCCGAGTTTTTTTGAACTTTTTGAACCTAACTGGTTCTTACCTTTCGGTTCAATCCGACGTGTTCATTCATAATTGAACCAAACCGGTCACCGGTTGTACCCGTTCATGGCTGTCAGTCACGGTGGTTCGCTGCCGGCGACGGTTCATCGTGACCGGTCACTGTCTATATATAGACCCTGACCCCTTCAGAAATTTCATCCAGTTTTCTGCACTGTTATTCTGCCAGATTTTTTCCTTCATCCGGTTTTTCATACTTCCTTCCATTTTCCGGTGTAATTCTTCTGGCATCTTGTTGTGTTCATTCGGGCTGTTGACTGGTAGTGCCACCAATCTTCAGACGCAATCCTTTCTATCTTGGGAGACATGTGTCCATCAACCTTTAGCATCAGTGAAGGGGAAAATTGTCTTAAGGAGACACTTTCTGTGGGCTCAGATTTCCTACACTATCCTGCATACATTGATCATTCTGTTCCATTATCTCCAATACTGTGAGTCTGTTCTTAATTTTACTATTGCGCTGTGTTTTGTGATTATTAATCTCGTATGCTTTATACACGGGTTCAAACCTCTTAGTGATTTCTAATATCACCCACTGTCTGAATAACAGTTAATACATTCATGTTATCTTTGCTAGTTGTGGGGTGAAAAAGTCAGCATATTATTTGTTGTAATTCAAATATTAAGAGTTCTTCATTGTTTTCCTTTCCCTATCATCTTTGTTATTGTATTTTCTTCAGCTTATACATGCAGATTTTCAATTTGGACAGGGTGTAAAGGTTGATGAACTTGAGAACAATCATTTTGTCCTTGTTCATGGAGGTGTCTTTAGCTTATACCCAGTAGGATTATTTTCCTACTAGATATCTAGTGTTTCTTAACACCACCATCTTAAGCATCATTATTTTGGGCAATTTCTTAGCTAGCATTTAACCTCTAAATATGGTTTTGTGTTTTGCTATGTTCTGTTTTACAAATAATTTTATGTTCCTCTTGATCATGAAAGTGAACTAAGTTTGGTTTTCTTCTGTTTTACAAATAACCAAATGCATGTCTCTTTGGGTCATGTTGGTTTTGTGTTCTTTTTTCGTTATACAATAATTTCAAGTACGATCATGAAATAATTTATAATCCCAATTATCTTATCATCTCTTTGTTTGATTGACTCTAAGGTCAATTACATATATATTTCATATTAATTAACTCAAAAGTATTGCACCTAATACATATTGCTGTTTGAGCTTTCAGCCCCTGTTAAAGTTTGGTGTTAATGCCAATTCCGTTGGGTATTCCTCCTTGCTGCTACGAGTAAAGGTTTTTTTTTTTTTTTTGGGATTGCAAAGTATCTTGCTTAAAGGATATATATATAAATAATATACATTGTTTTCAAAGGAATCTCATAAGACTAACCAAAATTAAACATTTCTGACTTGTAATTTCTCATGGCAAGCCTTGGAACCTAGCAGCAAGGAGGAATACCCAAAGGGACAGTTCTAAATTAGTGTTGTAGTTGTAGGAATCAAGTTCTAAAAATTGTTATCTAATTTTACATCTAACTATTATCATGTTTTCTATACTATATATTGCTTGTAGATATTGAAATCCTACTATAAAATTGAAGTCCCATTGCATAAAAGGATAAGAGAGTGTTCGATAATTATAAGGACCAAGGTATACTTTTACCTTATACTTTCATTTTTTTTCCTATCATTTTTCTGTTTTTATTACCTATTATTTTTTATTGTATGTTGTATTGTATTTCATGCATTTTCCATAGTTTCCTATTCAATAATGACTTCTATATTGTTTTAAGCACAATATTAACACCAGATTACTTATGTTAATGCAGTTAACCGAGCTAAATTCTCCTAGCCAACTTTCTTCATATCATGCTATTCATCAGCTATATTAGATTATTTATGTTTAAATATATATATAGTTGTATTAACATTAATTACTTTTATGATTAATTTGTAAGAGACTTAATAACTTTGTTTTAGTCATATATTTTGATCTATTAATTTTTAATGTTAGACTTTCTAAATTGATTTTTATTATTTGTATTTATTTTATAATTATATTTTATTTTTTATATATTTAATATTATAATAACAGATTTGATTATAAATAATGAAATTTCTTATAAAGTAAATAATCATCCAAACCACCGCAAATATTTAATTCAAATTATATAATTTTAATGAAGGGTAAAATATTTCTCAGGTCAATGAAGTAAATTATCTCTAATAAACATAAAACGACGTTATTTTGTGCATAGAAATACTTTTCCCTTCGATGAATTCAACAATTCAGTGGCCAATGCTTATAGACCGTCTTTTTAAATATTAAACGATTTATTCTATCATACTACTCTAAGGTGGTTAGTTATATATAGTGGCGGTTTGTTTCTGGTGTCGGTTATTCGACTGGTTTTGAAAACAGTGGTCAAAATATTTAACGACACCACATTCAAAGTTGGTTTTGGAATGGCCACTGTATTGTTTAGAGTCCATTTGAACCGCCAAAATAGACTAAAATAAGTGACTCTAATTCCTGTTTTGGGTGAAGGGTCTTATGTCATATTTGTCATTTTAGATAAATACTTTTTCTATTAATATATGATTAAAAATTAAAAAAAAAAATTCTCTTATCATAGGAAATAGAATTATCTCTACCAATTCTAAAACTATGTCATTTTTTGGCAATTGAGAGAATTAATGGAAGATATTTTAGAAAATTTATTTGTTTTTTTGTTGTATGAATTTTACAAATTTTTTTTTCAAAAATATAAAATAAAATATACCAAAATAACCTTCATTAATTTTCAACCCTCGTGACGTAGTTTTAGGGTTGTTGAAGAAACGATAAACTCTTAAATATTTCCAATATAAAAAAAGTAATTAAATATTTCTTTACATATTCATATAACTACAATCAATTGTAAGATGCTTGAATGGAATTTCTTTTCACTATAAAGAAATCTTAAAATTATTTAATTTTAGATTTCAGCTAGCTGCCCAGAAACCATGAAAACCTAGGGGGAAATTTAAGTGCCTTGGAATTTCAAGTCTTGAGACAAGGGCATTGGCTGCTCCTATCCTTTTTGGGTCCAAGATAACGAGATAACATCTCTGCATTGAAACAGCGTACTGCAAAACAAATAATTAATGTAATCATTAGAAACTTTTATAATTCGTAAAGCACCTACAAAGCCTTCTGCTTACTGAACAAAAACTCTTTTTTTTTTTTTGGAAATACTGAACAAAAACTCTTTTACAAAATAGTCAATCTCCAATTTAAATTATAATTAAACAAGTTTTAAGTGTAGATAAATTTATATGGGTGATATTATATTTACAATTTCTTTTCTCTTACAATTATTTTTATAGTTGTTAGATTAAAATCAAATCAACGATTAGTCGTTGATTTGATTTTGATCCAAAAATCATAAAATTGATTATAAGTATAACTTCCAAATTATGTTTAAAGGGAAACAGAGTTACGGAAACAACTAATTATGAAAACAAAATAATAATAATAATAATAGTAACTTTCGTCATTCTTATTAAATTACTCTTTACAACGTATATTCTTTCACGAAGCTAGACAGTTATCCGAAATTTGTTATTTGTTATTATATTGAATTTTTTAAATAATATTTTATGGGTTCGCTTTTTCTGCATATCTGTAGTAAGTCTAATACGACGTCGTTTTGGGCAGAAATCATAGTGTTTTAGTAATTTTAATTTATTTCAGGATTATTATAATCTCTATAATTATAATTTTTTAATCTTTCAATCCCAAAATGATGTCGTTTTGAAAGTAAATGTAAATAACTTATATGTGTTGGGAGGAGGATACTGAGAAAAGGAAAGGTTTGGAAAGATATGGAGGAAGAGAACACTTTTATTACTACACAACTCTTTTAGTTTTTGGCTTGATTACAAAATGATGGAGGACACACCTATTTATACTAGTGGCACCTCCTTAACCAATGGCTAGGATTATGCTAACACAATTCTCATCTAATGGCTACAAATCATTCTCTAGAATTCTCCACAATTTTCCTAGCCTAGATATTTCCATGGTAGTTTCTAGGTTGAACTATTTTAGATATTTCCATAGAGTGATCTAGAGTGGATTACTCTAGAATTTGGGCTAAACTACTCCTGAAGATTATTCTAGAAGTTGAGCCAAATAATAACTAAGCCCAATGGACCAAAAACTAATTAAATCAAGTTTATTTATTTATTCAACACCCCCTTAAACTTGATTTTGTAAACCAATCATATTTTGTGGAACACATTTGTCCGGTGGCTTTGGGATTGGTGGAAGATAAACAATCTTTATCGGTGTTTGTGGCGTCTCCGGTACATACACGATCTCTGCTAAATTTGACCAAGTAATCCTTGGTTTTTCCCTTTGCTCATTCTCCAAAATATCTTCTTTCTTTTGCTTTTCTGGCACATCAACGAGAGTTTATTTTTCTTTTATTGGAATTATTTCTCCTTTGTTTGTCTTCTTTGTTGGTACTTCCCCTGACTTGTTGCTACTGCTCCTTGGTTTCACTTTCTGTTTAATTTCTTTGTTGTTGTTGCTTCTTCCTGTTGTTGGTGTAGATGCAAGAGTTGTTGGAGGAGTTTGATCATTTCCATCTTGAACTGTTTGCCCTTCTGAGAATACGTCTTCAACTTTTATTTCTTCAGTTGCTATATGCTTTTTCTTGGTTGTCATTCTTTCATCCAATATGAAATTTCTTTGGGGTTCTATCTTTGATTCTGCCAGTGTTAGTACTGCTTCATTCTCCTCTTCTTCCTTACGTTCCTCATCATCGTCACCAACGTCGTCAGGATCACCACTACGCTCGTTGTCACCTTCTCCTCCTCTTTTTTCTTCATATTCTTTCATCAAATCAGATTTATTTATCCACTCAGTAGCTTCTGTATCTTCTTCCATATCATCAATATTATCAACTTCAGCTTCAGTTTCTTCTTGATGTTCTTCTTCTCCCATAGTCTCTGATTTCTCTGACTCCAATTCATTTTGGATATCGAATTCTGATTTTGGATTGCTTGATTCTGAGTCTAGATACCATGTATTCTCTTGTTCTCCTATATTGTCATTGCGTACCATTAACATAGTGCAATCTTCTTGACTCCTTTCCCCCACATAGTTCGTCTTCTCCTCAATTTTCGTTGTAGGAGTTCTACATTCATAAGCATAATGGTCGAACCTTTGACAACTGTAGCATTTGATTTGAGACTTGTCACGTCTTGGTTGCGAGCTACCTCTTCCACGATCTCTTGTTGAGCTTTTTCCTCGATCTTCATTGGCATAATTGTTGTTGAAGCCTATACTTCCACGTCCACGACCTCTTCCTCGACCACGATATCCTCCTCGTCCTCTTGTGTTGCCAAAGTCTTCTTCCTTTTCTTTGAAGTTGAGTTGTGTCTTGAGTAACTGTTCACCAACCCCTTGCTTCTTCTTTTGCTTCTCCTCATATGCTTGTAAGGAGCCCAAGAGTTGCTCTGTTGTCATAGCTTCCAAATCTTTTGTTTCTTCTATGACAGTGACAATATGATCGAATTTTGAATCTAAAGATCGCAAAATTTTCTCCATAATTTTAACATCATCTATCTTTTCACCATTTCTTTTTAATTGATTAGTCACCGTCAAGACTCTAGAAAAATAATCGGAGATACTTTCGGCATCTTTCTTGTGTAAAGTTTCAAACTCACTTCTTAGAGTTTGAAGACGTACCTTCTTGACCGGCTCAGCCCCCTTGTAAGAGGTTTGTAGCTTCTCCCATGCTTCTTTTGTGGTGGCTGCCTCCGAAATCTTCTCAAAAGCATCTTCATCCAATCCTTGATAGATGAGATAGAGAGCTTTCTTGTTTCTCTTTCTTGAATCCTTCAAGCTATCCCTTTGAGTTTGGGATAGAGTGACTCCTTCTTTTGGCTCATCGTAGTCTTTCTCTACCACTTCCCACACATCTTGTGATCCAAGGAGGGCCTTCATCTTGATGTTCCAATTATCATAGTTGCTCTTGGTGAGCATAGGGACTTGGAAAGGAACCATGTTGCTACTAGCCATTTCTCTAGAAAGGATCTTAAGGCTCTTGATACCACTGTGTTGGGAGGAGGATATTTGAGAAAAGGAAAGGTTTGGAAAGATATGGAGGAAGAGAACACTTTTATTACTATACAACTCTTTTAGTTTTTGGCTTGATTACAAAATGATGGAGGACACACCTATTTATACTAGTGGCACCTCCTTAACCAATGGCTAGGATTATGCTAACACAATTCTCATCTAATGGCTACAAATCATTCTCTAGAATTCTCCACAATTTTCCTAGCCTAGATATTTCCATGGTAGTTTCTAGGTTGAACTATTCTAGATATTTCCATAGAGTAATCTAGAGTGGATTACTCTAGAATTTGGGCTAAACTACTCTTGAAGATTATTCTAGAAGTTGGGCCAAATAATAACTAAGCCCAATGGACCAAAAACTAATTAAATCAAGTTTATTTATTTATTCAACAATATGCATTAACTGCAGAAATATTTTTCTGATGTGTTATATATGGGTTTGTTTTTCTAAAGTTAACTACTAGAAAAATCCTGTATAGCAAGGGAATTGCTATGAAAATTCCGTCGCTAATTTCATCCTCGCAACTACTTTCCCTCGCAAAACCGTTTGCGAGGGAAAGTAGTTGCGAGGATGAAATTAGCGACGGAATTTTCATAACAATTCCCTCACTATACAGGATTTTTCTAGTATATTTTAGATAACTTTATCTAATGTTCATCGAAACGACGTGGTTTTGAAGCGGAAATCATGATTTTTTGTAATTTTAATTTATTTCAGAGTTATAATAGTTTTTATCATTCTAATTTTTAATTTTTCAACAAAAAACGACGTCGTTTCGATGAACATTAGACAAAGTTATCTAAAGTAACATTCTATACTTTTTTCTCTTTATATATATAAAGAACCTATAAAATTCGTACTAACCTCAACAACAAGAAGGTAGCCATCATCCTCTTCGTCACCTTTGGGAACAAAAATAGGCTCACCAATGAATCTTCTACTTCCAACACTCCAAGTTTGTACAGAATCACTCATTAAATCTAATTTCAAAACAGTATCGAAAGGAAAACTTGGCAATGTTTTGCGAGATCCTAAGGTAGTTGCAGCATAGAGATATTTGTTTTTCTTGCCAGAAAATTCAGGATTGATAGCAGGAAAGTCTGAGGATTTCTTCCATTTCTGCATGGTCTTTACGTTACATTCTTGGCAATTGTAGTCAGAATCTAATTTTATAGAGACCTGCATTATATTGAATAACATATTGAGCAAAGTGCTATATAAATGCTAGGAAAGCCCAGATATTAACGATGTATAACTCTTAAAATCTGAATATGGCCTTGTTTTATTTCTTTTATTAATTCCAAGAAAAAAGCCGTTAAAATCAAAATGGGTATCATATTAATCCTTTAAACATGATAGCAATATTTGAAATGACTTAAAATTCATTGAATATTTGACGGGAAACTATTGATAATTTTGATGAAAAAATAATGAAGCATGCCTTATATAATTATGACCCGGAAAAGAAAAAAGAAAAAAAGACAGACTAGTTGGAAACGTAACACATACATAGTGATTAGTGAGAGAAGGAATAAAGGAGAGGGAGCATCAATACCTGAATAAGATGAGGCAATAATTCATTTTCACCTTTTACATTCATTATTGATGGGTCTAGCTTCTGGTTTTGCCAATTGTATCCTGAAAATTAACCAAAGGAGAGTTTTTATTAGAAACACTTGTGTGTATGATTAAGAATGTCATTTTTTTATTTTTTTTTTATTTACTTTTATATAAATTCATACCCCATCCAATTCAATCTTAGTCAAACCCAAGCAATTGCCAATTAAATTTACAAGTAGAACCACGAATTTATTTGAATATCTCTTTGCACAGACATGCATATATATCAATGTATATAAACTATATACCAAATAGCTTGCGGAAATTGAACCACTGGTAAGAGCAAGCAGAGGCTAGTATTTGGATTTCCGAATTCCCATGAGCATGTTTAACTTCAAAGGCATTGCCAACATGCATTAGCCATAATTGTGAAGGTGCTTCAACTGGTTTTCTCCAGTCTCTCTCTTTGCCTTTAATTTTGTGTGGGAACCTAGGAAGCAAGTATATGGGCGATGTGCTCTTACTTGGGTTTACTGTTAATGCTGATATCATTGGAGATATCCCACACACTGCTCCCATTGATCCTGAACAATATTTAAGGCAGAGTTAATTCTATGACATATTGAGATAACTTCCCATAAAAAATTCGTTTACTCGTGATTTTGTTTCCATGCACGTACTATCAAGGAGAGTTATATCAAAAGTGGTTACTTAAAATTATTATTATCATATATATATATATATAGGGGCATGATCATCTTACATCGGTGTAAGAATAATAAGTCTTACATTAATCTTAACCATTGATTTTCTGCATCTAACGGTTAAGATTTATTAGGTCTCACTCATTAATTAATTTTTAATTTCCAATAACTCTCAACCGTTAGATGCACGAAAATCAACCGTTAAGATTGGTATAAGATTTATTATTCTTACACCGGTGTAAGTTTATCCTATCCATATATATATATATATATATATATATATAGGAAAAATATTTTCTCATGCTGCATGAGAATTCAATTCTCATGTTGTGAACCTTCTATTTGTGTGCCAAATTTTTTTTTTCTTTTTTTAATAAATGTGGGATCCACTACTAGTTGAGTCACAACATGAGAATTCAATTCTCATGCAACATGAGAAAATCAAACTCCATATATATATATATATATATATATATATATATATATATATATATATATATATGGGGTAAATATTTCTACAGTCACTTTAGATAAGATTATCTACAGCTACCATTTATAACTATGTTCTCTCGGGAGAACATAGTTGCTTTTCAGAATTTGTTTGCTGACGTAGAGAGAAAAAAAACAACTTTAATGTTATAACTATGTTCTCCCGGGAGAACATAGTTATAAATGGTAGCCGTAGATAACCTTATTTAAAGTAGTTGTATAAATACTTTTTCCTATATATATATATATATATATATATATATATATATATATATATATATGATTATTTTACGCTAATATAAATTAAATTGTCAATCTTATTATTTGATCTTATATGAATCTTATGGTTCATATGATTAATAAATTAGAACTGTTAGATCCAAGTAGATTAATTGCTAATATTTGGTTTAAAATTTATTATTATGTCACTAGTATAAAATGATCATTTCCCTATATATATGTATGTGTACATGATCATTTTGCATCAGTATAAATTACTCGTAATTTTTATTGTTGATCCCATTTATATTTAATTTCTCTAATTTATTATTTATGTCAGTTATTGGATAAAAGTAGATTAATGATTAAAAAAATATGTAATACAATATGATTAATTATTTTTAAATAAAAGTTAAGATTCAAGAAATATATATTTTAAAATTACTCTACACAATATATTAATGTGAAAGGATATATGTTCAATTAGAAAAATAGGTTTTCCGCTTGACTTATCTAATTATTGATATCAATAAGGAAAATGATTATTTACTTTGTGATATGCAACGTTCATAAATTTGCTACAAAACAAAGAAGAAAATCTTGTAATAATTAGCACAAATCAATTCTTACCCAGTACATCAAGTTTTATGCGATTGGCAAATACTATGTAGTGGGTCTCCGTGAAAGCCCAATCATGGATCATCAAGTGATCTGGTATTCTGAACTCTTTCTTCTGTACTAAATTGAAATTACTGTCATATTCTGCAGAGTAAAAAAAAAATAGCAAGAATTAACTGCAAAATCAGAACTAGGTAAATAATTAAGTTAAACTTGTAATTAAATAAAAAGGAAATTGAATATTTTCCGTTCTTATTATTTACCACTAAATATAAAAATACTCCGAGGAAGTAACATGTCTTCTGCATTGCACGACACAGTGAGTAGCCTACTCCTGCTAGAATCAACCTTATAATGAGACAAGAGTCTCCTTGGGGGCATCTTAAACACTCCTGTATTCAATGAAACAAAGACAAATAAAATATTTTAATATTTTAGAATATTATTAACCTATTAAGAATATTAAACTGTTGTTGCCTTGTGCAAAGATCCATTAGTAGAATTCAATTTTGTACAACTTATGTAAATTAATTTAAGAGAGTTTGTATTGACTTATCAAAAAAGTTATTTTTATGACTTTTTTATTTTAAAAGTTTTTTTATAAAAGCTACAACTATTTAAATTAAAAAAAATATATATTTGATTTTTGACTTTTTTATTGCATGACACAGTGAATATAGCCTACTCCTGCTAGAATCAACCTTATAATGAGACAAGAGTCTCCTTGGGGGCATCTTCAACACTCCTGTATTCAATGAAACAAAGACAAATAAAATATTTTAATATTTTAGAATGTTATTAACCTATTAAGAATATTAAACTGTTACATTTGTTGCCTTGTGCAAAGATCCATTAGTAGAATTCAATTTTGTACAACTTATGTAAATTAATTTAAGAGCCCGTTTGTATTGACTTATCAAAAAAGTCATTTTTATGACTTCTTTATTTTAAAGGTTTTTTCTATAAAAATTACAGTTATTTAAATTTAAAAAAATATATATTTGATTTTGATTTCTGTATTGCATGACACAGTGAGTAGCCTACTCCTGATAGAATCAACCTTATAATGAGACAAGAGTCTCCTTGGGGGCATCTTAAACACTCCTGTATTCAATGAAACAAAGACAAATAAAATATTTTAATATTTTAGAATATTATTAACCTACTAAGAATATTAAACTGTTACATTTGTTGTCTTGTGCAAAGATCCATTAGTAGAATTCAATTTTGTACAACTTACGTAAATTAATTTAAGAGCCTGTTTGTATTGGCTTATCAAAAAAGTTCTTTTTATAACTTTCTTATTTTAAAAGTATTTTTTATAAAAGTTATAGCTATTTAGATTTAAAAAAAAAATTTAACTTTTGACTTCTACTTTTTTGATAAGGTAAAATTTTTAGTTTAAAAAAAATAGATTTTTGACTTTTTTTATGACTTATGTTTTTTTTAAAAGCAGACATCCAAACAGATTTTTTATAAGAAGTACTTTTTTTTTTAAAAAAATGTAGCTTTTGAAGAAAAAAAACTCATCCAAACAGCTCCGAAAAGAAAAAGCTGTATCTAATTTTCCCTTGGTAAACTACAATGATCCTCAGAATAAACTATTTTAGGAGACACAGCTTGTAAGTACTCCAGCTAACATGTACCTTGGAAAATGTATACCTTGTGCCACTAACTTTGCTAGTAAAAGTGTCATAAAACCATATTTAAAAAAAATGTTGGAAATATATTGGAAGCACTATTATGGGTTGCTTAATTAGAGTCCCACCCAAGTTGTTTATTATTCTTTTGGTAATAAGTATCAAGTTGCTTAGTATTATTCAATATCATAATCACACCGTTTCGTCACCTTTGGCTTGTCTTTTAATATAAGAAACAGGAAAAGAATTCTCTTTGAATGTGCCCATTTTATCATGTCTTGTCCATGTATGTTATTGCATATGATTAAAACTCTTCTGTTCATATATGGAGAAATAAAGAGAGAGTTGTCTATATAAACAAAATTATATTGCTTCTTTATTAACAATATTTCAAGTTTTGTAACATTACTTCTGAAATACATCAATTTGTAATTAACTATAATAGCAAAGCGAATTATCAGTTATATGCAAATAGTTATAAAGTTCTAACTATTTGAATCATGACAATACTCATCACTTAATCTCTTATATATATATATATATATATAATGCATTGATAAATTTTCATTACTGGCTACACTAACTAAAATTAGAAAAATATATGTTACTTACCTATATTTATTCCATCCCATGTTTTTATTTTTAATGTCACATAAATCAACACATCTTTAATTTTATGAAAATAGTTGTTTTATGTTACACACTCATAGAATTTTGTGCTCATTTTTTTTTTTCTTTTTTAAAAAATTATGGTTCCCGTAACTTTGTTTTACCTATAACTTGTATATATGACATAAGTTTAATAAGTCCCTTAATTTTAATATAGAAGTAAGTACTGAAAATTTACTTCAAATGCAGGCTTAAGAGACAATTAATACATACCATACAACATAGGCTTTAATATGCCAGCTGCAACCTCCCAAACGTCAACACCGTGATTCTCATCATGCCCTTCCAAATCACAACTGTCCATCATGTTGTACCTCCCGATCGTATCCAACGTACCAGATTCGATCTCATATGGGTCCCCACCTTCCCACAAACACAGTAGCTTCTCTCCCCACCTTAACACACTAGTGTTTGCCACATTTTTCATGACCTTAGTATTCCCAACCTTTCTCCCACCTTTCAATACAGAAAATGGACCTCTATGTGTAAATCTCCATGTGTTGGTCTTTGGGTCATGCTCCTCCACTTGAGCTTCAGTCTTAATGTACTTAGCCATATATTTGACCTTCTTAGTAACATTATCAAAAGTGAATGCTCTTAGGTATCCATGACCATCTAGTGGATGCACCGTGGACCCATGATCATCAGCGAAAAGCCCTGGTCCGGTTAGATAGTACGTACCGGAGGGAAAATCGGCCGGAATCACGCCATCCAAGATGCGCAGGGTGATGGGTTGAGTTGTTTCAGATCTTTGTGAAACAAAGAGGAATTGGTAGTCCCAAAAGGCAGTTATGGAGTCATCAAGCTCTATACTTGGTTGAACCGGAACGGTCACACGGGTATCGGGTACGGATATGGATATCGCACGAGGAACGGTTGCTGGCAAAAAGGGGGGTGGGTGCACAGGCGGTGGTGGCCTTATGGGTGGAGGAATGTGTGATGGGGTGGTGTGGACTGGTTTGGCCTGCATTTTTGGGAGTTACTTAGGCGTTGGAATTGAGACTAGTGTTGTTGGTGTACGAAGGTGGCAAGGGATATGTGTTATATAAATATGGACATTGAATAGTTGCTATATGCAATTGCATTGTGTATTTCATTTAATTACAGATTTGCCATCCTGGATTTTGCATTTTCGGTTGCATGGTTAATTTGGTTTGTGCTCTATTAATGTTCATGTGGGGTACACGGCATTTTCAAATGTGGTGGACACCAAAATTCTTGCATTTTAAGTGGCAGACATAGTGCATTTGTCTTCTTCTTCTTTTTTTTCCCTTAATATTTAATGGCTCAAGAGAAGAGTACCTTGGTGCTCCATGAGTTAAAAGATTTATTTCTTTCCCATTTTACTATTATTTTTCTATGCCCAAGCTAGTTTTAGTTTGAGAGGAGCAATTTTAATCATCGTGTAAGAGCCGCAATGATAGCCTTCTAATTATGATGGATGTGAAGAAAAGGTGCAATTTGCATTATAATAACTCATTATATATAATATATAGTTAAGTCCACTTTTTTTGCTTTTTTATATTTCGTTGTATTTTAATTTTCAAAACACACAATTTAAAACACATATATAGTATGCGCGCACACACACGAGATATGAATGTTAATTCGACCTTTTTGAATGCAAGGTTCATAAGTATGCTCAAGGAATGCAAGGTTCTTGCATACTGTAAACAACTAATTCAATCCAAAAACTTAAGCTGTTGGGTAGCTACATTAATGATTTTATATAATCTCAACACGCCTCATCACATGAGAGTCCACTGGGCTTGAAGAGTGGATAATGTACATGTCCACCTACCTGTGCGAAAAAAGAAATTCCACTAGAGAAAGTGGGGAGCGGGGAGGATCGAACTCGGTACATCGAAGCTCTGATACTATGTAAAAAACCTTGGGATACACCACCCCAAAATCTAGCTCAGAGGTTGGGAGTATCTGAGGTCTTATAAACTCCACATTAGTTGCTCATACAACCAAATGTGGAACTATTTATCTCAACACATAATTATGTGTCACTTGTGTTAGAATTAATTTTGAAAATAATTATAGTTTTGAATAAAAAATTGGTAATGTGTGTCTTTTCGGTGCCAAATGGGTACTATTTTAAATCACAACCTCTCACGTTTTTATAAATATGAAGGATTCAAGGAAAGATTGGTCACTTTGTTTTTTGATATTATTCCTTTAGTTTTCCCACATTCATTATGTTGTAAGAACCAGCACCGTTAAATTATAATTTTAGAAATTAAATAATAATTAAATAAAAATTATTAAATGGAAGATTTAATTATTTTAAGTAATTTAAGTTAATGCACCTTTTTGATAAAAGGTCAATGTTGTCTGTTTTCCATTAAAAAATACAGTGGACATCACTCGAAACATAAAGATAATTAGTAATTATTATCCCATGAATTTTGTGGAGTTAAAATAACTACAAAATAGTTATGGTAATATTAGTAGGAAATATTAATTATGGGAAGTGAAAAATATTGATACTGCGAGTACCGCGGTAGAAATAGCAGGTGTAGAAAAATACCTGAAATTGAAAATAAATTATAGTTTTATGCATCATAAAATTTATTAGACACGTCGGTCCATAATGATTGGAGATTTAAGCGAGTGATGTGTGTGGATTAGTACCGGTTAAGTTAGTGAGTCTACCCTAAAATAGCAAAAGCTACTCTCTCACTCTCATTTATTATTTCGCCTACGTAGACTCCCTCCTCACACATCTCTCATTGTTGCCATCTTCTCTCCTCCAAGACTCCATTGCTTTCTCTTCAAGAAAAACCACCAAGACACCACTTTTATTCATCTTTCCACCATGGAACCTTGACAAACACTTAAGGGCAAGCTTTAGGGAGGAGAAAAGCTCTTCCTTTGAAAGTGCAAGCTGTTATTTTTTGGAGTTGAAAGCTACCATTTCAACATCTTGTTAGTTTGAAACACTTACACCCACCATTGACCATCAAGAAACCTCCTTTGTGAAGAAAGCACCAAGTTTTACCAAGCCAAGTTTGTGCATCCCTCTTGACAGCAATGGGAAGTGAGTTGTAGACCATAAAGACTCTTCCATTTTACAATTTTGAAGCCTTGGGTATAGGTCTCAACCTTTTCTCTTGAGTTTTTGTGTAAAAGATTGAGTCTTAGACATGTTGAATGAGAAAAATAAGTAACCAAGATGACCACTAGCTTAAACATGCTTAAAAATGGTAGCTTGAACCTTTGTAAATGTTAAAAATAGAACCTTGTTGGATTAAATCATGAAAAATGATGTTTTGGACAAAAAAAATGATATTCTACGATGAATATCCGGATATGAACAGTGACACATACGGATATGTACGGAATATCCGAATATGAACAATAACATATTCGGATATTTTGACAACTGACCTATTTTAGTAAAAATTTTATATCTCGAGCTACAGAGCTCCAAATTGAGTGAAGTTTAGACTTATATGAAACTAACACATAGGGCTACAACCTATAAAATTTAGTAGCCATTGGATAAGTGTTTTGATCACAACTGGAGTTTGAAGTCGCGACTTTGTTGTTGGAAATTTAGTTTGCAGTAGTCACTTTGTGAAAGACATAACTTGAGTTATACAACTCCAATTGAGACATGTAATATGTCGTTGGAAAGCTTGAGATGTCTAGTTTAACATATTAAAATATTAGAGTTTTTGGTAATGAGTTGCAATTGCAGTTTTAAAATGGTAAATAAGGCTTGTTGTCGTATTCACAATTAGAATAGTGTCTTTGGAATGAATTTCAAGGAAATGACTTGTAAACTCTATTATGATAGTAAGTGAGGTTCTAAAAGGCATGGGACCCTAAGGCGTGGACTTAGTTCCTCCCACCTTGAGTTGGCGTCCCTATGTAAAGAATGACTACGTAAAAGATAATATTGGAATGAACGTCATAAACTGGTATATTTGCTAATTGCCATTACATCTTTGAAATAGGTTATGATTTTGTGAGTGCCTATGATTGTGGTCCTTTAGATACTAAGAGTATATTAGAGTATGTTGCTGTAACAGGTAAGCTTCGTGTTCTTAGGGTTAATCCTCGTTTATTCTACCAAACTCCATAGGAGGCTGGTTGTTTGATATGGTATATGTGTTTTATTAGGAACTTGAATTTATGAAATGATGCACTCTTATATATGTATGTGATGTGATGTATTACACACAAGATGGTAATCCCTGAGTGTAGTGTAGAGCTATACAAGATGATAATCCCTGAGTGTGGGTATAAGATAGACACCTTATGCTTTTTATGTATGTAGTAGAAGTGTGTAAATCATATCGTTCTCTGGCCAGTAGACTTGTTAGCACACATGCATGATATATATATATATATATATATATATATATATATATATATTATCGCATCATATGAATTTTATACTTCTCAAACTATTTTTACTATGATCATACCTAAAGTGAACTTGGGGCGAAGTGATCCTTTGAGAACCCCAGATACTGAGATTTGTCAAAATCTTACCCCGTCTGAGGGACATTTTTCAGGTACTGAGATTATTGATATTGATGCATCTCAAGGCAAGAGGTCGGGATAGAGATTTTAACTTGACATGGGACATGCATTGATGTATTTGATATTCATCCGAGACATGATTATTATTCGTCATATTGTGTATGTTGTATATTTGTGAAGAGCATAGAGAGTGTCTATGCCATCTTGATGAGCCTGCGTATATGTATAGATCAAACTATATAGGTTTATGAGATTTTTGTATTTATTTTCATTTTGATCAAAGTATGTAATGATGTATTGATCATGTTGGTTGTCATTTTGATGTATGATGTGTATGTGAGATAGCCTAAGCAACGAGTTGCTAGGTGTCACCATTTATGCATGTAATCATTGTTAAATCTCTTAAGATAGGATGATTTAGGTGTCTAAAAAGGTATGAAATAGCTTAATTAAACCAAATACATGGTTGACACTTGTTGCATGTCTTAGGTAAGGACAAATAAGTACAAGATGAAGTGTTACGGGGCAAGGGGTTAAGTGCTAAACCTTCAATTTGAAGAAAGATATTCCATTTCGCCATTGTCATGGAATATCCGGATATTAGTGATCAAATATCCGGATAATGATATCCGGATAATGATATCCGGATATGGCATATCGGATATGTCCCCGACAAATATCTGGATATTCTGGGCGAACAAAAGTTAAAATAAACGTTTAAAAAATATATGCTTATAGACATTAGAAAACTTAAATATGGAAGGCTTAAATCTACTTCTAAGGAGTGTGGTGCCTTAATAAATGTTAAGGAAGATGAGAGTAACTATAATAAATAATTTAGATGAGATTGAATTCCTTAGAGTGTGTATTGGTTACTATGTCATGGATGACTAGATAATAGAAGAATTTGATAAGGTTGGCATGAAATGGATAATTAATTAGTGGATGGTTAAGTATGATGAATAAAATAATTAATGGATAATTTCGATATTAACGGACCTTACAAATGAACGATTAATGGTGGTCATGATAATATGTAAATATAAGATTAATTATGCAAATGGTAACAATTAGGAAAAAAGAAAAAGTTTATCTGCATTTTTCACTTAATAATTCTAACATTATTTCCGTTGCAAGTAATTAATATTAAGCTGCGCTTAATACCATTATGATGCTAATACACCGGTTACACACTAAATGTTATATTTTATGGTATCAGAGTGCTTTCTAGGGAAAAAAAAGCCTTGTGTGATAGATTGAGAGAAGTTCTTGCTTAGTGATTCAGATTGTTTGACATGATATTATTTTGCTAGATACTGAGTATGAGTTTGGCCGACTCATTCTTTAGTATGGTGATTGTTGAATCATGATAAACACCGGGATACACTTTGACAACTTCCGTGAATAAGTAATATTATATGCTTAATTTGAGCCTCATGAATGTGTTTCTGCTTAAATGATAATAGTTCA